CTTTACATGAGTACATGAAACTGCTTTGTTCTGGCGTGATTTCAATGCAGTTTTTCAGTATCCAAAAGGGCACTCAATTACGAAGTTTCAGAAGGACAAAGTTTCTGACATTCTACCCCTCAACAAGAGAAATAACGCAAACAAATCTGCTTGCTTTGTAACCTTGAATCTCATGCCTCAGGGTGTAAGTTAACTATCTCCAGGGCTCTAGAGGGAATATTTTCCCTCTGATCTTTCAGCAATGCAGATGTTACTAGATACGCCATGGAGGTATTCACCTTCTTCTTGAGCATCGATTACAGATTACAGCTGTTGGAGACATTGGTGTATTTTGGTATAAACCTTGTTTTATGTCACATTGATACAATTTCATTAATATAATCAACAGACCTACACTATCCTGGCAGAGCTTGGTCCACTGCTGGCATTGATGCTCGAGCAATGAAATTTTTACAAGCTTGCTTCCAAATACCATCTTAAAAATCAGTACAGCAGCTCCAAAGTTTGGTTGATTTCTCCTGTGCAATTTGTATGGATGCATCCAAGGTATCTTTTTACTAGTACTGCAGTACTAGGAGTTGCTTTATCAACTACTTTGTTGGCTTTGACCCCAAAGTCCCAACTTTTAACCTGTTGTGATCTTAGTCAACCTACTTCTCCCTCTGTGGCTGCTGCCCTTCCTCAAGTCATCTAAAATGAAATGGTAACTTCTTCTCTGGACAGGAGAGGTGGGCTGGCCTCCAAGGCATTTGCATCAGCTTTGCAAACAGAGAGATGAACTTCACTCACCACCTGCCACATGAAATCCTTTTCAAAGCAAAGACTGCTAGAGGGGTCCATTTTATTAAGACTAGAAATTCTTTTGGGAGCAGAGTCACAAATGCCCTGATGTATGAAAATGTACGTAATTTCATCTGATGAGACAGCTAACACTCAGATGGAACATAAGCACTTTGCCTGGGCTAGGTAAAAGGCAATGAATAGTACAGGTGCGACTTCTCCCTGTGCTTGAAGATTTCAAAGTCCAGAAAAGACCACTGCATGTTATTATGGCTAAAAAAAACATTCAGTACCCTGGAAAAGAGAAGTTCAGTGTGTACAGAAGACATTAGCTTTTACAGATCACTTCTTAAAAGCAGGAATGAATGCAGACAGACACCACTTACAAAGCAAGGTGCAGAAAGCAGAAGACGGGTACTGTTCCGTCAGTGATGAAATAGCCTCCTTTCTTCCAGAAAAATACCTACTTATAGTACACCATAATAAGAAAGAAGCTCAAGCACAAACAGGACAGTAAATCTATACAACATTTGCAAAGTCTAGTTCAGACTACTGTGTTCAAAACATCCAAATGCAACTTCATCTACAGTCTCAAATTCTCTTTTCTAATTTGGTTTATTAATGACATAGGGTAGAAACTGTCATGTGTTTACAAAGTAGCCAGTGCTCCCAGGAATCCAGACTCATTTGGCACACTGGATATAACTAAGAGAAAGAATACACTAAAATAACTTTTTTCCAACGTGATCCACAGATCAGGTAAAATTTGATAGGCACTATATATATATTAATTATATATTATACATCTCAACACAACAGCAGTTGCAGCCATGATACCAAGTGCTGAATTTGATCCACTACGGTATTTATTTAATGCACTGAATTCTTTGACGTACACCACTTCCTATATGGCCATGAAAGTTCAAAAGTTAAATCTCTATTGTGATTCTCTATCATGACTCATTTTTGGTCAACAATTTGAAACCCCTTTTGAGTTCTCAGGTGTCTATCAAGAGATGATGATACACCCCAAGGAGGAAAGGAGCTCAAGTACAGCCAGACAAGGTACAAGGCATAAGAAGTATTTGCAAGACCAAGTTAAATGAACTATTAAAACACAAGATACTAAGTTAGCAGTTTCAAAAGGGCCATATTTCTACAGACAACCCAAGATATAAAAAGAAAATTTTCATACAAAAAACTAACTTCACCATTGTTTTGAGTGTTACATTTATACAAACACCCCCCCATCCAGCTCTCAATTAACTGCTTTCTCACTCCGAATGCAGCAGGTCTGCAGTGTGTAGAAATGTAATTATTTACACACCACTATTGTTGCCACTACTGTCTACTTCTAAAGCATCTTGATTACTCTACTGATGAGCACCATGGAAATGCCTATGAATAAAATAATCATCTCCCCTCATTAAGCTACAGCTCATGGACTGAGGAAGGATGATTTTCCTTTGTACATCCCTTTTGTAAATTTTATCATTTCACAACAGAGGGAGTAACCTGCCTCTGATGACACTCAAAGAGACAGACTGCCAGGATTCTTGTCAGTTTTTCAGCTTTGAGCAGCTTGCGTTTTTGCATGAATATTTTCTCCTGCAAATAAAGTACTCTTTGTCAGAATTAGGCATTCAAGAATCTCTTTCTAATGCCAGAATCAGACATGCAAAAACCTCTAATATAATGTCAGAAGGTCAGATTTTATGGAGCAGTATGTCATGGAAACTGTAATGGCCAACACTGCACCCACAGCAGACGCTTCTAGTTCTAGCTTCAACACCAAGAACACATATAGGTGGAAAATTTCAAGTAAATTAGATTTAAAAACAAACAAACAAACAAACAATGAACCTTGCAATAAAACCAAAGTGAACCAGGCTTGCTATTCAGGACGTTTCAACAGTAATTGATGCTGCAAACAAATATCAAACATTCCATTATTGTCAAATCACAAAATCTCACTCTTTTCAATAACTGCAATACTGCATGTACATTTGTATAGAGTGAAACTCCTGGTGGTGTCATCTCTAACACACAAAGAAATACCACATTTCATAAAATGGTGAATTATAAAGCCAGCAAAAGAAGTGTGATATCTTTACTCAGACTTTACTGAAACCATATTTCTGCAACAAAAAGTGACAGTGAAGTTGCCAGGTTGCCCCAGTCAAAACAACAGTGCTGAATTAAGGCACCAGTCACTGTACAGGTATCAGAGCCTGACATGAGGAAAACAAAGTTGCCTTTTATTTATTTATTCAAGAAGAGTTATGTATGGTGTGCTGTCCACTGTGGACAACAGTTTGCAGTAGGAATTGCTAAATTACAGAGATCTTTGTACCCCTTGCTCAGCTGTAGCCCCATGCAAGGCAGCCACTCCAGTAATAAATTGCAGTCTACCCCACAGCAGAACTACTCTAGCAATCTGTAACTTCAGAGCAAGCAGCATTTCCCAGACCCCCACTTAGGAATTAACACAATTTCACAGGATGGTCCAGTGACCAGGCCACAAGCTCAATCCAGTTTACAGGCTGATTTGGTTTGCTCTCCAGTCAGAGGCGGAAAGGAAACACCACTTCCTCCCGTAACTACCTAAAAGGTAGAGTTTGATGGAAGCTCCTGGGGCATCCCTATTTCTGCACGCTGTCCAAAGCAACACCTCACCTCCACAATCCTGGCTATTCTCAAAGAATGGAGGCAATTTACAGGTTCAGATTAAGAACCTCATTCATAACTATGAGCAACAGAATTCTGTGTTGGCATGAGTGGCAACCTTTGTAAAGCTGCTGTGATTCAAAATGCATGGTCTTGTGCCCATGTAGGATTTCCTCGGTGAGGATGGATCATTTGACTCTTCTTCCTCTTTCCCCAGCCACTTCCAAGGTTTCCAGTACATCACTCCCTGTATCACTGCCTATTTACAGCACGCTACTCTATCTATGGACAGTCTAGCTGGAAAGTCACCCAGTCACATATAAACTATACATTTCGTGAAGAAAAAGTGCTGGGTTGAGACAACTGGAAAAAGAAAAGCTTTGAAGCTTTGACAGGCAGATGAGATTTTTGTATATCTGAAGATAGAAGCAGCCACCAAACTAACGTGCATTTTACAGTGGTTGGTACAAAGCAAGAATATCAGACAGGTTAGAGTGACATGCTACTTTCAGCCCCCTGCACGTGGACTGTGCAGGACACTTTATGAGCCTATATTTGGGATTGGGAGGATGAAGGATGATCATTTTCATATGTAAAGTCTGCATATTAGTTGGATGCATTGCCTAGGGTTGGCACAGTATTTTGAGAGCCAGTGTTTGAATAATTTTCTCCAGAAATAGGAAAGAGAGTTAATTTAAAGCAATAGCATCAATCCCTAGAATAGCCAGCGTCCAACACCCACACAAGAGCTGTGCTGCCTTACTCCAGAATCTGAAGAAAGAAAAATAGTGACAAAAATAAGATCATTCCTCAATTACAGAAGACACAGAACTGTTAAATCAAGCTTGGATTTTTCCTTTAAGAATCTAGCTCTTCCCAGTCCCCAAAGTTATCCTCCACATTCCTTTAAAGGTTTTCATAGATACAGGAGTATGAAATGGCTTATTGCTATGTAGCTGCTAACAAGAGACAGATGTTTCCTTCAGTTCCAGGAAAATGTAGACATGAAGCACATTATGATGACCAACTAATTATATTTGACCTGAATCCCTTTCTGCATGTTATCTCTTCATGCATTTAGTCAAAAAAATGCAACACAGTTCCATTCTTTTCCTGCTAATTACTGAGCTAAACAGAAGAGCATGCTTGGATCAATTACTTTATTTTAGCAAGCAAGGAAAGTCAAGCAACACATTTTTACTTAGTGAAGCCAAAGCTTGAGAGTTCTTGCAATTGCTTCAAAGCCAAATCAACTGGTGGCTGTGAGCCGAACTCCCCATGTTATTTATTTAGCTAGTCCGGAAGACACGCACTGCACGCTGGCGTGCAGGATGGAGCATCTGTTTCACTCAGAGGGTCGGCTACATTCTTTACTTGATATTAATATCAGTGAAAATTTAGTAACTTAACCACTGGCATGAGAAGTCTGACTTCTGAGAGAACAGATGGCAGTGATCATCTCAGGTTAATTTTAGGCTTCAAGAATTGTTCTGAGTCAGCAAAGCCTAAAGATAAGAGAAAGAAAAGGACATAACATCTGTAAAATCTCCTACCTGTTTCCCATCCAAGGTATACAGCTTTTTGACCACTCCTGTCTCCAGTTTTATAGCTTCAGTGATATCAGTGAGAACTTGCTCAAAAGAATGGGCAGTCTTCTTGTTCAGGAGCACACGGACGGCCTTCCGGGGCTTCACCCCACTGCGGATGATGGTTACCAGCTTGGGACGAACAAAATCTTTGTTCTCCTTTGCCTGGGCGCTGTTGCTGCTTGCCAGAGACTGAGGTGCTTTCTGGTTGGCAGATGTCTTCACATTGACAGACCAGTTGGGATTGACATTCTTCGTGTATTCTACCTTCTTGAAGAAGTTGTCAGATGAGCAGACATAACTTTCCCCTTTTGAAAGAAGTGAACACCGGTCTAATTATACGGTTATTCCCATAAGACTGTTGAAAAACAGACACTATACATGTCCCCCCATTAATCATGTAAATCATTTATAACTGCTTTCATTAGCACTTCCATGAGAGCTTGTCATTAAAATGCTTTGGCTTATTTTAATTTTATATTTATACTTATTTAAAATATGACTAGTATTTCCCCAAAGTAAGCAACTCAGCCATAGCTTGCATTACCAAATACATACTACCACTCAGTCACATAAACAGGGGTTAAAAGGGGTTGAGAGTTATAAAGGTATTTAGGTGAGATGCAACTAAGCTGTCTAAAAGCTCCTAAACACGAAATTCATTTAATCACCTACATTATTTTGTAAATTTGCCAGCTTCCTCTCCACCTTTACAGACCTAGCTACTACTTCAGTCTGTCATCCCATGCCAAGAGGATATCAACATTCATCCACAAAGTATTTTTTGTGTCATGCCTGAAAGTAATGAAAATCTGGTACCGAATAGTCTCTACCCAAAACAGTTTTGATAAATCTAGCAGGCATAACAAATATAGTTCATTGTAGTGTCAGCAGTTTATTAGAGGACAGACCTAGTGGCAACTACCCCAAATACCACTAGTTGCTTTTATATGGCTGGTACCAACCAAAAATATATTAAATCCTAATTCAGACATGGTAGAGAAGGGTTACACAGTCTTGTTAGTAATTCACAAAAAAGCCCTTCCCTATCCCATCCAAAATTAGTTTCAAGCTTTGTCTGTAATTTACAGGATCCTATCTAAAGTTTTAAGAGAACCTTAAAGGATTTGTAGGATCTTCTTTTGCACTTGCAAATCCGATGGATGCTAGAAGAGTTACTACTAGAATGAGGCAGTAAAACAGCATCCCTAAGGGAGTGTAGCTGTCTAGTCTGAAATGACTCAGGCTGCTGAGCACTTGAGGACGCACTGAAAAAGAGTCAGTCATTGCTCGAGGAAGAAGCTTTTGTCTCGCCATTAGATAAAATTTTAATAGGAACTGAAGGCATAACATGGGTATCTGTAGGATCTTAGGGAGTTTCTTTCAGTGCTTTATTGGTCTGATCTTACAGAATGAATTTCTTCAAATATCATGATAGGTTGGAATCAAAATATAGATTTAGTTATTTTGAATAATAAAAAAATATCCTTCTTCATATAAACAGACTGGCTGTATTTCTGTATCTCTTCCCTACTGCAAACTCCAAAGCCTGGACATCTTTGAACCCAACATCTGAGTCTGACTTTCATTAAGGGATTTCTAAGACAGGATTTCACATCCAATTGGCAAAGGTATAAATATGGATTTCCAAATAGTCCACTGATTTCCACGGAATTTTATGGTCAAGGCACATAACGTATCCAATATAGTGTTCATATAGCCATCCTTCTGCTGACTAAACTGCATTTTTGATGGAAGCACCAAGGCAATCCTTTCATAGAACATATGGTGAGACCACTAACAGTTACACAATAAACAGAAGGCTTTATAGGCTTAAAACAATGGTCTGTGTAGTATTTATGTCCTTATTACTGCTAAGGGATTGATGTCATGAGCAGACATAGAAAAGATTCAGGATGCTAACATTTTTTTTAACCCCAACTTTTTAACCCCAACCCCAGTTTGCCAAAAAGTGATGTGTACTCATGGTGCTTACACCAACTGCAGCTTTTTTCCATCTCCTCAGCTGCATAAAATGACCATTATCAACAGAAAGCAGACATTCTGTTTTCACTTCTGAAGACCAGACAGAAACAGAGAAGGGAGAAGAGAGCTAACAAGGGTCATGACGAACATTGTCAGCTGGGCATTTTATCAACTAGTATATCCCAAGCTAATGCAATAAGATCAGCAAGAGGTTCTGTTGGCTTGAACAAACAATACAGATCTATATTTGAGGCATGTACGCTGTCGGCAAAACCCCTTATTAAGCTGACCATGTAGTACCAATAGCTGAAGCTCTTTAATGCCTTACAGTTCTTGAAACTGACTCAATAGAAGCATGAAGATACCCCACAGAGTACCATACATTATAAATAATTCCCACTGGAGACATTGATTGTTTTCCAGAAGTACTGAATACTTTAAGTCTTTCTGATTAATAAGTGATAAATTGTGGTTTATTCATCTGCTGCAGCCAAGCAACACCCAGCACAGAGCAGACCCGGTTTCACAACTGAGTATGAAGTGCAGCAAGGGGAGTTTGAAATGCTCTCAGGGAATTAGCCCTGCTAAGAACCTGAGCCCTCCCAAGCCCATAATCCCTGGGTGGCAGAGACTTTGTAAGCATGCTCAACAGAACTGTAGCATTATCCTTTCAGAAAAAGGGATTTCTATGTTTAAATGCAATACTAGGAATAAGTGATTTGAATACTCTTCTCACACCTTCTCCAGGCCTCCCTGTGGAAGCTCCTGACCTCACCTGCACCTCTGCTTCTCTACCTGAAAAACAGAAGTAGCAATATCTGCCACTGAAGTGTTGCAAGGCTTGACTTTCATCTGTGTTTACATCATATTTGGGGATAGAAGCAGCCACAATGAAAGAAAGCATATATTTGTGCTGTGTTCTATAAAAGTGTGGTGTTGGAGCATGTTTTCTGTTCATAAATTCCATGTTTTAAAGTAAATGGAAGAGATTATTGGTATGTTTGGTAGAGTACTATTACTCTTAGTTCCAGCTGAACCATTTGGAATTCTTCACAGCACACCATAGCTGCCTAGTGTATTTACAACAGCATACACTGAAGGCAATACTCTCCTACTTGGCTTTATTTCCACAAATGCAGTATTAGGTAGCTGTGCGTACATAGATACACTGGCCTTTCAGATTAAGTTTACAGTCATAAGTGGAAAATGGAATCTGCCCTTTCTCACTTTGCTTCATTTAACCCAAACCCTAGAAAATATTTTATGGAATTCTAAAACTGGGCAGAAATTTGCTTGGAGTGACACTTCAGAAGAGCAGTTCAGAATAGCAGCTCTTCTCAGCACCATTTCTGCAGTTATAGCAGTATAGTTCCAGGGAACAGCAGCTTTGCTTTCCTTCTTTCCTGATCTAAAGACATGACCTGAAACTTTAACTTAATTTAAAAATTATTTAAACTGATGTCTTCCCGAACTCATTTTTTGGCCTTCAGATAATAGCAAAATTATCATTCACGTTCCTCAGTGAGGCACGTGTCACATCCCTTTTACCATTTGCCAGCCAGAAACACATGCTATTTCACTTCCCATAGCCGAGTTTTACCCAAACCTTACTGTGAGGTGGAGGCAGGGTCAGGCAAGCATGGGCTGAAGGACTGTGAACTTTCCTGGCTTTGAGCACATGTACTATAGCCAGAAGATCATAAAAAAGAGAAATCTTATGGACAATAGTGCTATCATAGAAAGAGGAGTGGTTTCTTGGTTTCTCTGCTACATCCGTCTGTGCTAAGCCCATAATGAGAAGTCAAGGTGTGCAACTGTGCCAGTCAGAGAAATGTAACTGAAAGACACAGCATGGTTGCAGATGATGTGAACAGCATAACAGAAGGAAAGGGGAGAAAGCGGATATCATACTTTGTCAAAAGCAAAAGAAACAACTCCAAGAAGTATATTGCTTCCCAGACCCAAATATAAAAAGCTGCGCACAAATATTTTCAGGAATACGTCTTTAGACAGCAAGCAGCTGTGTACATGTGCAGAAATCCAACTGTAAGCTATGAAAAATTATGATGAACAGTCTTGTCATTACTTCCAAATAAAACTCCCAAAGACCTCATGCATTGGGAGTGGGAAGCTTTTGTAAGAGCAAGAAGCACCACCTTGGCAATATCCAATCTGCTGCTGAACACCACACCACGGGCATGACACCAGTGGTGCTAAAGACAACTTTTTTTAGTGCAGTGTCAGGTCAGTGTGCAAGATGCCCTTTCTGCACTGCGAAACCAAAGCCCCGCAGGATGATGTGCATTTGTCATCATGCCAGTATGCTCCAGAGGTGTCACAATTTCTATCATGCTACCAAACCAGCCAAGGCATTTATTTATTTCTTCCATCCTGCCCTTAGCAATAGATGGACTGACTGTAGACCTTTGTCCTTAGGTCATCATCAGCATATTTGCCATTTGAAGCCACGGTTTCTATCACACTGAATTACTCTGGCTACAAGTGCATTACACATGACTGCATTACCAATTTGATAGAAGCGCAGGCGATTATTCAGCTCCTAAAGCAGGGATGATCTCAGCAAAGATAAGGTTTACCTTAGAGAAGGATTCTTAGAGAAACTCTAAGCTCAAGATGAGCGCTAATCCTTCAACCCTCTTACAGCAGCTCCTTGTGACAATACTAAAAGTGACAGGCTGCACTTTTAGAAAAAGTTATCCTTTCTCAGCACGCACCAGCAAGTTTTCAAGTATAATGAACTGCGGGCAGAAGTCTTGCGAGAAAAATCACAGAAGCTGGATTGAGGCCATTTTGAAAGTATAACTGCTAACAGTTATTCCAAAAAGAGTCTCTGTGGGCTGCAGTCAATTATTTTGGTTGTTAGCTCTGCTGTCGCAAAGTTGAGATAGTGCTACTGTGCCCAGCTTTCATCTTTCATGGGATTTACTATGACTTCAATAGGAATTAAGTAGACTTAACACCTTGCAGAGTTCATTACATAGTGTTAAAGCAGGCCTTTAGTTTTAAATGTGTGAACTTCTTGCTACATTATGCATTAAAAAGGATCTTCCTCTGCCTCAAGACCTACTCCACCATGGCAAAATGAACTCTGAAAGAGCTTCCTTCCTTTGGCTCTTCCACAGGGAGCTCTCCCATGAGAGAGAAGCACCTCTTGTTCTGTTGAAAAAATGACAGAAATGCACAATTACCAAACCTTCAAAATCACATGATGCCCATAAAGATTTGGTGGGACACCAGTTCTAGCATGACAGCCAGGATGACCGGATAAAACAGAAACACATGGATAAGTTATGTAGGATGC